ATCGTTCAACCGCCTTTACATTACCAGACATTTCCTGATATTTTGGTCTAGAAGATGAGGATATTTAAAACATTTGTCTCAGGAGAGATTAGAAATCAGGAGCTTCCTAAGGACAAGCCAGCCCCTAGTCACTCCGTATGGATGTTTGTACCCTCCGGGTCACTACCACAGCTTTATTATACAATCTTGAGATAAAAAAATCTTAATATAGACGGCAGACTAACATGGCAGATCCCAGATGCCCCGTTCAGCCTCCAAAAAAGTTATAATTAGGTCACCCTTGACGGCTTTACCAGCCATATGAAACCTGCAATCCTTTGCGGCGGTGTCCATGCTGTGTTAATGTTTACTGTACCGTGTTACTAATACTGTGTGTGTCACATACTTGTTCTGCAGAATAAAACGCTAGAACGTCACGTATTATAAATCGTCTCCACATTGGATGCATTTTTTAAAATTTGAAGCCCCACCCTGGCTTCTGCCGGGGTCCCTGAATATAGCCGGGTCATAAATATGGCCTAATGGCTGAAAGGGGTTTCTGGGACTTCTCCGAGCGTGATCCTCATTCGCATGGTGGCACTTTGTGTCACCGGGTGTTTATCGATTGTTTGTCAGGAGACGCAAAGCGTATTGCAAGGTCAGAGCACATGTTTTTAAAGTTCATTTCTCTTGCACTGACCGACGTGATCATTTGTACTTATCATATTCGCCTCTTAGCTTGATTAGTACCACTAGTTATGAGTGCTGTCACATGGTTTATTGTTGATAAAATCAAGCACATTAACACTGCAATCACGACCATGACGACAACAGGAACAAACTATATCAGAATGTGGACACAATCCACACGAGAACGTCTGATGTAGATACAACTTGAGCTCTGTTACTTTTACCTTTTTTATTCGATCATTTCTACATCGTTCTAAATAATTCAGCATATTATCTAACTCTTATCTAACCATTATCCGTGAGGCATGGCCACATTACAGTTGTCCAGACTGTCCGCTAGGACGTCCGGTCGACGACTGTCCCAAGCAGATTCACAACACGGGTTACTTTTCCTTACTTCAGGTGGCTCGCGTGTCCTGTGTGGCTTGTGTGCACATCATGACATGACAATCACATGTTTAGTGCTTTGAGAGCAGTCCCACATTCCCCCCAATCTCCATCCCTACCCCAATCATGACAGTGTTATTATTTCTTTTTAATATTAAAAGCTGTTCCCCCGAACAATTAAATGTTTAGGATCTTTGCTACAATCCTTGTAAGGTAATGGCAGTTTGATTTTTGTTGCAGTCTTTAAAAACAATTAAAACTGTTCTACTCTACACAAATGGCCATTCGGCTCTAAATTCTCATCTCAAGACGTTACTGACTTTTTGAGGGGGGGGGGGGTGGGGGAGGAGCTGTGTTTTCCTTACTTTACTTTTTCAAATATACTGTACAAGAAACTGTGTGATCAGTACTGGTAACCTGTTTTAGACACTGTATGGTGACTGCGACATCTTCATTTTTCAAAATTTGAAGAAGAAACATATAAATGTATGATGTGTTTCGTGTTTATTGTGAGATTTCTGATGCAATTATACATTTCAAACCAGCTGGCAGAGACAGTATTTCTCTAACTATTGTCCAGCCTTATACATACAAAGGTGTCAATCAATGCCATTGTGGTAACCTCGCCTACACAACTGACTAAAGTCTCAACTTTTCGGGGCCAACCTATTTCTAGCGTTTACATATGTACTCTGTCCATGCACTAGCGAGCTTAGAATAGCGATAAATGTAACTGGTAGTGCCATTCTTACCAGACAGGGTTTCAAGTAATGCTCTAGTATACTTATCCTGTTTTTGGCGTGTTTTTTTAAATCTGACAGGGTTAAACCGATTGCCTCCGTATCTGTACAGTGATTGACTTTTTGTCGGATGTCGTTTCTCTACAAATATAAACTACATGCTCTAAATAATGAATAAAATTCTTCTAAAAATTATTCTACAGTGGTCTTTTTCTTCTTCTTCTTCTTCTTCTTCTTCTTCTTCTTCTTCTTCTTCTTCTTCTTCTTCTTCTTCTTCTTTTTCTTCTTCTTCTTCTTCTTCTTCTTCTTCTTCTTCTTCTTCTTCTTCTTCTTCTTCTTCTTCTTCTTCTTCTTCTTCTTCTTCTTCTTCTTCTTCTTCTTCTTCTTCTTCTTCTTCTTCGTCTTCTTCTTCTTCTTCTTCTTCTTCTTCTTCTTCTTCTTCTTCTTCTTCTACTACTACTACTTCTTCTTCAGCATTCCGAGCCCTTGAGTTTCAATGCTGCAGATATCACCCACCTCCATTCATTTCACTGGTTGGCCTTCTCTTTCCAGTTGGTGACACAAACTGTTTGCAGGTTTGTCTGGATATTATCTCCCCATCGTCTTGTTATTATCTCCCCATCGTCTTGTTGTTCTGCCTCGTGGTCTACGACCATAAATCTCCTTGGTGTATACAGTATTTACTTCTCTTTCATCTGACATTCTTTCAATATGCCCCAACCATTTTAGTCTAATAGCAGTGATCAGTAGTGAATTAAACAGACTGCGAATTTCGTTGTTGCTTCTCACTCTCCATTGACCGCTGTTTATATCTTTGATGGGTCCAAAGATTCGTCGTAAGACTCTTTATTACAACACGGGGAGCGGCCAGCAGAAACGGTTTGAACGATGGGTTCTCCAGCGGACACCTGGGTTCGAATCCATAGTAATCCTGGGGATTTTTTTCTGCCTAGGCAAAATAAAATCCTCACCTGCACAGTCGTGACGACAGCACTAGCCATGCAGCCGTAAAACCTCAGGCTTCAATAACCCCCTCCCCCCCCCCCCACCACCTTTGCCTACACCGTAAAAGTGGTATAAAAAACCAGTCACTGGCAGTTTTTATAACAGGAACGTGTCAAAAAGCGTATTGAAAGAAATAAGCGCACATAAAAAAGGATTACTGAACCACCTAATGCGAAGAAGAAAGGTAGGAGTGAGTTCTGTGGTATGCACTCGATGGGAAGAAACTGGAGAAGAGCAAGAAAAAAAGTTGTTACAGAGTCTGATTTTATGCCATTTGGGAATATCCATATCTGAAATAATTACCAATACAGGAAGCAGAAGTCTATGGGCAGCCATGATGTTCAAAGCCACACTACTGAGAATATAAGATAAGCCATCTTAACTACTGAAAACTGCAACTACCGAAAACTGTGTACATTCCAAACAATAAATATTAATTTCATGAAAAAACGTTTGAATTTGTGTGTATGTGTGGTGTGTGTTATGTTTGTTTTATGTTATGTGTGTGTGTGTGAGTGTGTGTTATGTGTGCTTGTGTGTGTGTGTGGTGTGTGTGTTATGTTATGTGTGTGTGTGTGTGAGTGTGTGTGTGTGTTATGTGTGTTTGTGTGTGTGTGTGTGTGTGTGTGTGTGTGTGTGCTGTTTATATGCTCTTTTGACTTTATGAATAATATATTGTAAGGTCCTAATTTCTCCCACGCCGAGAACGGTATACTACTGTCCGAAAGCAACAGTTTTATTTTAAACCGGCGACTAAGTAAATCAAAATCTACAAAGTCGACTATTGTGACATATTTTCATTAACATCTAAGCTACGCAGTCAATCTGTTCTTGTTATTATTTAAATACTCCACATTTATTATTCTTTCTTCTTTTTCTTCTGCCTTTTTATCCCCCAATGGAGCATAGGCCCTCAACCAACTCACGCCAAGTCGTTCTATCCTTCGCCATTACATGGAGCTCTCCCCATGTCCTCCCCATCTTTCTAACCTCATTCTCCAGCTCTCTTCTCTATGTGTTTTTTGGCCTTCCTTTATTCCTATGCCCCTGTGGGTTCCAATGCAAAGACATTCTAGTTATGCTGTTCTCCTGTTTTCTCAGTGTGTGCCCTATCCAACGCCAGCTATTCTATCATACCATTTTATTCCCTCTATTCTGAGCAGGCACCAGTTAATGAATGTCTGTAATTTATTAGTAATTGCCTTGGTTGTTCTCCATGTTTCCGCCCCATATAATAGTACTGATTTGACATTAGAATTAAAAAGTTTTAGTTTAGTATTTCTTTTAATTTCTTTTCACCTCCACAAATTCCCTAGTGCTATGAAAGCTCCTCCTGCCTTTTGTATTCTTATTTTAATATCTCTATCAGTTCCTCCATCTTTATCTACATTACTGCTCAAATAGGTGTACGACTCCACGTCTTGGAGTGGGGTGCCATTAAGAGAAACCACATTACTATTTGCCTGATTTATTCTCATTATCTTTGTCTTTCCTTTATGGATTTTCAGATAAAGCTGCTGTGATCTCGCATTGAGTATATTTAATTTATCTTGTATCTGATTCCGTGAAAGGGACAGAAGGGCACTATCATCAGCGAAGTCCAGATCATCAAGCTGTTTTGTAGGAGTCCACTGAATTCCATTCTTGGTGTTAGCAGTTACTGTTTTCATAGTCCAGTCTATAGCCAGTAAAAATAGGAGAGGCGACAAAAGACATCCCTGTCGCACACCTGTTTTTATTTCAAATGCATCTGTTAGCTTTCCCTCATGAAGAACTCGACATTTCATGTCTTTATATGTTGCCTATACTAAGTTGATAATTTTCTGTGGGATTCCATAGTGCCCCATCAATTTCCAGAGAGATTCCCTATCAATATCCACACAATCCGGTCGAGATCCACAGGTTGAGAACTGGTGTGTTACATTAAGGCATTAATATCACAGCCTATGCAACACCAGTCAGGGTCTCCATACAACACAGCCTGGAAAGTGCTGTAGAGACAATGTGTTGCCCTTGCAATGATGCCTTCCTCGGTTTGCTTTAACTCCAAATGAAAAGTAACACAAGCACGTTTGGAACAAAGGATGTTGCAGAAGCTTTCGCATCAGAAAAAGAGTGCTCTGTCTTGTTGCTGCAGGAACTTCCCTCCCAGACCAGCGACTAACCAATGATAACAGCTTGGTCTGTCCTGCCAAAGCATTACTTTTTCAGGTTGCTTTTTCTGGTTCTCAGTGTTGACTTACGAGTTCCGACGTAAATAACAAAATCTCCCACGCAATTCACACAAAATAACAGGTCCTGAACCGAGGACAGTACTTTCTTTAATGACTCGTCATTTTCTACTAGATTCGTATTTGCAATGTATGTAAGAACAAAACCAAATCCACTACACAAAACGTACAGAACACAAATACTGAGTAACGTTTTAGTTGTCTTCGATATGGGAGTATTTGGAGTTGTTTTTATTTGCCCAGTAATGAGCTGCTCGCGTTTCTTTGTAATGAAAACAACTTGGATGCCAATAACTGCACATCCCATTGTTACCAGACTAATGGGTATAACTCCAGTCATGTAATTAACTATACTCTCTATCATTCCGTACACCCCAGCTTCAACACCTGCAAAATACATTTCGGTGTGAGAAAAGACACCTAAAACACTTCCTTTTATACGGTATTGTTTCAACTCCCTGCATAATATGAAGTAATAAAGAAATACAAATCCATTTAGAACATAAAGGCTGGCAAGTACAATGACTGTACGAGGAGGTGTTAATATGAAAAGAGCCTTGAGCGGAGACAGAAGGGCCAGTATACGTTCTGTTGTTATTAAAACAGGGATGATCATTGCGGTGTGAAGTCCCATATTGTGAGCAAATAAAAACGTCGTGTATAAAATATAGAACATATAATTTATGTTTTGAGAGAATCTAAATCCACGAGGAGTTGTTTCCTGGTATATGAACAATGGGAAATTATTTATTCCTGTTAGAAATAGAATATCAGAGACAGATAAAGCCAGGAGAAGTATATTGGAGCATTTTCTGAATCCTCGTCGGGTCAGTATGACAATGCTGGCCACATTCCCTGCAATTCCCAGAATGCTGATACAGGGAATTAGTCCATAGCGGAATACTTGGTAGATTATCTCTGAAAGGTCCTCGTTGAAGAGAGGAGGTTGTGTCGCTTGAGTTGCTATTGAAAAAGCAATGGATGCAGTGTTAGCCATATTGTCTGATAATACCAAGAGCATTTAGAAATGAATGGCCTACATATGGTTTTCTCTCACCGTGTATATCTGAGGTGTATAAGATTAACTGAAAATATAGATCACAAAGTTCCTTCACATAGCTCAATTTTCTTTTAGGTAATAATCCACTTCTATGGCCTCGTTGCATAAAGCATGAACCTCTGCAGCTCAAGAGACAACCACAGGGATCTTGGTAACATCCACACTCACAGTGGTCAGAAACGAAAGGGAAGAACACCAGAGCATGAGGAAAACGGCTTAACCACATTAAAAATGCAGTAATTAAATATCATGATAAATCTAAGTGAAAATGTTCTAGACTATATGAACTTCACTTATTATTGTTTCATTCATTTGGGTGAAATTTTCCCAGTGAAGACTGACAGGGTGTGATACCTTTTTTCCTCGTCCGTCTTGTAGATCTTCTTACATTCCCAACACTCTACAGAGGGACGTGCAAATTGTCAAGAAGAAATGCACATAGAACCACTGAGACCCACACAATATGTAGGTTTATACGACATTTACAACGCATAGTTTATCCCTGATTTTTGTGTTTGGTAATTCAAAGCAATTATGACCATCATTTTGGCTCTTGTCAAATAAGCTACGCCTTTACCTCTCCCTAGGTAGAACTCGCTAACCCAATCTGTTAAATACAATTACTGTGGCCTAATTTTTGTCCGACCTTTACAACAAGGGTACCGTATCGTTGTTAACCCCCTGATGTCTTGTATCCAGTAGCCAACTCACAGAAAAGAAAAAGGAACTTGTTTGAAAATCTTCCTTAATTTCCAACTCAGGAGAATGTCTTTATTCATGTATAATTATATAATTCTCTGAGAACTGTCGCCACAGTTCATAAAAATGATTGTCCTCGCATTCTGCTTTACAATTAGCCAGAATACCAAGCGCTGCCAACTCGTAAATCGCTTTTTCTCTTTCAATCAATTTATGTTAGAAATAAAGTGATTTAACACAATGTATAGAATAGAAGTTTTAATAACAAGTCGATTGTCACTTCCGAAATGTCACAGTCGGAAATTGCACCGGTAAATGTTTCACTCTTTTGCGTCTAGCCGGGGCTGTAGAAATTACAGCAATAAAGCTCTTACTAGGTATGCAACTTTTGTGAAAGTGTTGTAACCATCCAATTACTAACTATATTTTTGTGACTCATTGTTTATAATTGACTTTGGCTCCCAGGTCCATCCTGTATACTAGGAAATGTCATGGAAAGTAAAGGCAATCAGTGTGGTGTTGACCACACCATTCGTCAAGTACCAAATCGCTTATAAAATATGAGTATGCTTGAAGCTTGACTGGCGTGTCTTTTTATCAACAGTTTCTGCCCCTTGAAGCTTTTAGCGTAAGCCGTTCTCGTATATAAAGGACACTTCTCACAGCGTTGGAGCTCACATATATAGAAGCATATAATCCAATTTCGTCCTTTTTAGGACGACATTTTTTGTCATTTGAAGCCCTACTCTGGCTTTTGCCAGGGGCCGCAATATAGGCAGGCCATACATATGGCCAAATGTCTGAACGCGGTTTCTGGGACCTCTCCACGGCGATCCTATTCCGCATGGTGGTACTTTGTGTCATCGGGTGTTTATTGCTTGTGTGATGTCCTGGTGGTGTAGAAAGTCAGTCAGTCAGTCAGCGTTGGAGCTTCAGAAATATTGTGCTACAACCATATTAAACTCCCAGATCGAATCAGCCATATTAGAGTGAGTGTGTGGTGAGCTCTCCAGATTCGTCTATGCTGCGACTATCGTACCACTGTTAAACACTACGAAATACTTGTGTGTGTTTGTGTGTGCATGTGTGTGTGTTAAATCATAGTTCTCGAGAATCATGAACTGATTTAACGCAATAACTAGCCTCTAGCATTTACAGCTGAAAGAAACAAGGTCCTGCAGGATTAAACAAATGAACATGACCTCATGCAGAGAAAATTGCAATTAAATGAAAGAAAAATCATAAGCAAGAAAAACATTCAACATTATGAATGTTGACAGATATTTACAAATACAGGAACCTTTGCAAGCGCAGAGGTATGCGGGGTCTTTAAAAGGTACAGTTACTCACAAAATAAAAAAGAAAAAAGAAAATATGTCCTGACTAGCCTCATATTTTTTTTTTAATAAAAAAATTATAGTAAGTAACGCCTTCAGGATTTTCGGCATAAAGGTTTATATCTATATTTTATAGATCAATCGCCACTTGGTGGAGGATGTGGTCAGGATCACAGCGGCTTCCTTTACTTCCCAGGACTTAACCTGGCAAACATACAACGCTGGGTCGACGAGGGAGGTAGAGTCTTTCTTTAAAAAAAAAAAGTTTGGTTCTGTCAGACCTTGAAACCGCGACCTTTTGATCCTCAGGCGAGCGTCTAGCCCAGTGGTTTTCAGCCTTCCTAATGCCGTTACCCTTCACTACAGTTCCTAGTGTTAATTTCCTTGCTATTTCATAACGTCAGTAAATATGCGTTTTCCATTGATCTTAGGCGATCCCTGTGAAATGGTCGTCAATCCTTAATGGTGTCACGACCCACAGGTTTATAACCTCTTTTCTAGCCGCTACATCAAGGCGGGTCCTTGTGTTTATAAGAGTAAGAAATAATACAATCAGGCAGACTGTGAAAACAACACCTTAGACTAAATCCGTCGACGATAATGAGATCAAATGGTTTGGTAAACTTGTTAGAATGCAGTGAGCAGCAGTGGTGCTTCTCCTAATGAGATAAAGAATGAAAGCGAGAGATCGCTCAAAGTTGAGTAATGATGACAATATGTGCATTCTACCTCGACACGAAATGACAGCAGCTATTTCTAACCATAGAGTCATGAATGGCAGTGTGTTCCTTCCCACACGTGAGGCAAATGGGAAATTGATGATGATGATCATGATGATGATGATGACAAAAAGAAATTCGCTACAAACAGTTTACATTGTTCTTTAATAAAGACATTCATCATGCAGTTTACAATATTCATTAAAAAAAATTAATCTTACTCTTTGTTGTGTGTGTGTGTGTGTGTGTGTGTGTGTGTTTCCATAAAGAAAAGACGTTTATCACACAGTTCACAATGTTCATTTGAATAAACAAAAGACGCTCTCTACACAGTTAACAATGTTTACTGCCATAAGCAACAGAAATGCATACATGTGAACTGTCTGGTGAATGATTCATCATTTGAATGTCTATTTAACGGGAAAAAAAAGAAACACTAATCACATAGTTCATATTCTTTATTTAAGTAGGCAACAGACATTCACACGATAGCTCACGTTTTTTTCTAAACAAAGAAGACATATATATATATATATATATATATATATATATATATATATATATATATATATATATATATATATATATTTATATATTTATATATATATATATTAAGAGAGAGAGAGAGGGAGAGAGAGAGAGAGAGAGAGAGAGAGAGAGAGAGAGAGAGAGAGAGAGAGAGAGAGAGAGAGAGAGTAACAAAACAAAAATACATTCAAAAATTTATACTGTGTTTATTACTATTTTTTTAATACACAAAGCGCATTCAACAAACCGTTTACATCATTCAACTGACGAGAGATATTCTGCATAGTTTTCAATTCTTCTTCTTGACAAAGTAACGATTTTCTCCGCACAACGTGCATTGAGACATTTCACATCCAGTCTGCTTTGAATTTTAATGAGCGACGTTTCCTTCACAGTTTGAACTGATTTAGAAAAAAAAAGACATTTCCAACACAGAGACATTTCCCATACAGTTTGTGTTTGTGTAAACAAGAAGCAGTCTCTACATAATTTATACTGTTGTGTTATACTGTCTGTCTTCTTCTTCTTTTTCTTCTTTTCTTCTTCTTCCTTCTTCTTTCTTCTTCTTCTTCTTCTTCTTCTTCTTCTTCTTCTTCTTCTTCTTCTTCTTCTTCTTCTTCTTCTTCTTCTTCTTCTTCTTCTTCTTCTTCTTCTTCTTCTTCTTCTTCTTCTTTTTTCTTCTTCTTCTTCTTCTTCTTCTTCTTCTTCTTCTTCTTCTTCTTCTTCTTCTTCTTCTTCTTCTTCCTCTTCTTTCTTTTTCTTCATCTCACCCTGATTCTGCTTCCTCTTCACTTCCTCTACTACCGCTGTCGGTGTCGAGGGAGATATAACATTCTGCTTCTTGCTATTCTGGCCAGCCCTACACTTGAATTATCGTGCTGTGGTAGAATTTCTCTTCTGTGATATTTTTCCATCTTGTTCTTGGTCTATTTCTTGATTTTGTGCTTATATATATTTTTTTGGGTGCACATTTGCTTTTGTATTGTGTACCATCATGTATAATTAATTATCTCTAAGCGGGAAAAACCATTGGATTTGCTATCTTTTTAACTAATGTGGCATTGATTTTGTGCATATTTGTAGTCTTATGACCTAATTCCTGATTTGCATCTCCTCTAGTCACCCTTGCAGCCCTTCTCATACATCTCCCTTTCTTGGGTACTGATTTTCCTTTCTGGTTTGCAGGGAGTCACCGCGTCTGGTACAGGCAGCATGGAGTGATTTATGACATGGTTCTTTGCTCCGACTGGGATTGCCTAATGATTTCACAGGCGTCTGACTGTACCAAGACTTGCTTTTGCATTACTACATCTGATGTTAATTTCTTTCTTTAATTTCTCAGCTTCGGTTAATTTTGATCCCAAATAGTTAAACACAGATGCATATTTAATAATGATTTTGCATTCTACTGCTACTATATTTAGGTTCTGCATTTTCCCCCTTCCCTGTTTCCATTATGTTTGTCTTGTCTTTGTTTGAAGCTAGTTGCGTATTCTTTACAGGACGTTGCAGAACCACCTCCAGTATTTTTTTTTTAAACAGATGTGGTTTTTCTAGGCAAATTTACTTCCAGGAGTTTGTCAATGCTTTTTGGACGGTCGGCTTCTGGATACCACTGTCGAAACCAACGCAAAGCACAAGGCCCGCAGATGGG